CTATGTGTATAACAGCACAATTTGTGATAGCCAAATCTTGGAAACAACCAAGATACCCATCACCTGAGGAATGGAGAAAAAAATGTGGTATTTTTATACAATGGAGTATTACTCAGCTATGAAGAATGATAAACTCGAAGCCTTTATATTGAAGTGGATGCCACTTGAACATATACTCATAAATGAAATAAACCAGACACACATATGTAAATATCATTTAGTTTCCCTAGTATAAGAACTCGAAAGAAAAATACAAATAGAAATGTATAATACAAGTAAAAGGAAAGCAAGAACTCGAGGACTAACTAATTAAGAGAGGGAAAGGAGAAGAGCTAGGAAACATGACGGTGACAAGCCATGCAGTTATATGTAGAAGATGGGGAAGGCAATGATCCTGAGAATCTTCAGAAGATTTTGGAATCCAGCAGTTAATTGGAATGATTCTCACCCTGACTAACTATATATACTGACACCTGTGAACTAAGCAACTGCACTGAAGATCACAATTTGTAATAGTTTCATGCTTGGAGTGCCTGTTATTCTGGTCTTCTGAATATGGGGTGCTTGTCATGACATGCCAGTTGCTGCTGTGCTGTCTCTCGGGTAGATGATTGTTCAAAAAGAAGAGGGTGGTGGATAAAGGCTGGAGACAGGAAAAGGAATGTTGTGGGACTGTCCTGCTTCAAGGTTGTATATGGTGAGATTTTTGGACTTACGTGTAAATGTAAGAATTATATAATTCTTTATGCCTATTTTTTAAATATATTCTAATTTTTAAATGTTTTTTCATCATATTCTGTAGGGACTTAAAGTTGAACATATCAATACTTGATGAAAAATACCTGTTCCATGTTATCCCTAAGATGTTTGATATTCAGACAGATAGTGAGGTTAAGCTTAACAGCCTAGGCTGTATGGTAATAACAATAAGCTTCTCTTCTGGAGGGTTAACAGCCTAAGTTTGCAGACCAAAATTAGAGAAAAAGGAGGGCCACAAGGAAAGCCAACATTTTGGCCCTAGCCTTCCAAGGTCAATTAAGACTGAGGACATATGAGAACTTGTACTGTAATGTCATGTAACTCAGTAGTGTCCCAAATTTTCTTTTTTTTTTCTTTTTACAGTGTAACAAAATGTATTTTCATAAGTAATTATGGACATGTAATATAGTTAAAATATTGCAAAGCATTTTGCATAGAGAATTTATAGACCACATTTAACAATATAATCTAGTTGTTTAAAGCAAAATTTTTTTAAAAATCTAGTTGTTTAAGAACTCCAGGGTCAGGGAGATAGCTCAGTAGAATAAATACTTGCCTAACAATCACAGGATCCTGAGTTCAATCCCCAGTACTGCAAGAAATTTTTTAAAAATTAAGAAAAAAAGAACTCCAGCCTAATTTTCAAAAGATCCAAAGTATTAAATCATTTTATGGTATAAGACACCATAAGCTTATCTATGAAAACAGCAGGTAGATTTTTTGTCCTAACAGAACAGAAAAAAACAGTTAAGCCAAAAAATTCACATTAGGAATTTGAAACTAGCTGGTCAACTGAAGCCTAATAGCAGCCTTTGTGTATCAGATTTTATCAAAAATTCCAAGCATATTACATTTATTCTTTAGCAAAACTTCCTTTTGATAACTGAAAATTTTGCAATTTTTTCATGTTTGTGAAAAATACCTGTTAATTTCAAGTACCGATGTTACCCTTGAGATGCGGATGGTCCTGCACTTCTGCTCTAAGTGAACCTGGGTCTGTAACAGGGACACTGAAACGTGCTAAAAAAAACTATTGGTCTTAGAGAAGCTTTACTCATGAATAAACTGTGAGCCATTTACTGACCATATATACTTCCAGCTCTAAAACAACCAGACAGATGAAACCCCAGCTCTAGACTGACCCTTTTATAGCACAGCAGGTCAGGCAGCACTTCTGAAGCACCATGACCTATCAGCGCAGCTTTCAATAGTGCCCGACACTGATTTTCCCTGTAAACAGAAGTAAAATACTTTGTTATGGACAGACTTTTTGAATACTCATAGCGGGCACTTTCTGGTGTGTAGGTGGACAAGATATATCCTTTGCTTTCTAAGACTCTATCAAGTACTTTGCTTTCCATTTCAATTTATCTAACATTCTCCACAGTTCTGTCTGACCCACTGGCATTCTGTGACACTCTGCAGTTTCCCACTGCCATTACTGTAATCCCTGCCACTCATTCCTCTTTGCTGCAGCCTGGACATCCCCCATCTTTGCCTGTTATGTACTTGGGTGATTAATGTTAGCACTTCCTCAAAAGTCAAGTCTTCCATAAATATAACTCATCAGAGTTTCTGATCACTACTTCTTCAAGCTTTGTGGTGAACTTCAGATATTCCCTGTAGCAATATTCTTTCAGAATGCTACTCAGAAATAATATTTTCAAAAAGAGTCATTGAGGGTTGTCGTAAAAATATTGAATTAAGAAAGTGATGAAGAGACATATAACCCTAAAGAAATGCACAGCTTAGGAAAAGATGCCTCTAGTGTGCTGTCAGCTCCAACCAAGGCAATTAACACCACTAACAACTTTGGTGGGTGACATCGGCGTACGCACATAATGGTCAGACCAAGAAATTAAATTTCTGTTCTTTTGGTATTTAATTAAAACTTATATGACTCATTAAGCTTGAAAACTTAAGCTGCACATGACAAAAACAGTTAAATATTCGTTGGTAGGTCTATTATACTTATCACAAAATGTATATTTAAGAATCTATATATGAGTCTATAACATTCTATCAAGCAAATTGCCATCTGTGATCCATAATTAATCTTTGTACAATTTTTAACTCAAAGACAATTACATAACATTTAGGAAATTTTAATTTTCCAAATATACTCACACAAAATCATCAGAACTATTTTTCAGGTAAAAAAATAGCTGCATGATCCACATGCCACCAATGAACTCCCTACTGGTGAAGTGGCAGTCACCATAGCATGACTTTCCATGGCAGTGGCACTGTTCATGCATAGGCTCTTCCTCTTGGCATGAAGAATGCAAAAACAAGAAGGGACAAGAGCCACCCTTCATTGTTTCCTTGAGTCTTGGGTGTCTTCATTGTGTGATACCTGTTTTCACTAAAATAGCAATTTTTATTCTGAAAGGTAATCGTATGTTCCCAGTAGATATTAGCAACTTCCAACACGATCTCTAGGGATAATTCACAGTTCTGAACCATGCTTCAGAAAAACATTTCCAGCAGTCTGTGCAGGATTTATTCCTATTCCATCATTGGTAATAATTGCACTTGTTGCTGCAGGAACTTTAAATTCTTCTGCAGCAAACTTTAAGACTGCTGTGAAAGGTGTACTTTCAGGAACACTCAGTACTTTGTATGGCAGCCTTGGGTCCGACGTCAGCATG